TTACAAACTGTTTATCTTTCACACTTTTTCCTTTCTCTTCCCTTCTTCTTCTTATCTCATCTCATACAAGCCCACAAATGCCCCTTTATCACTCCACCATTCTGATACTACAGTGACTTAACACTACTCAGGAATATAGTATGGTGATGCCTTTTGGATGTGTGTTTTCTTCTTTTGATTGATTAACAAGTTTGATTGATTGACTTTAGTTGAGTCAATTTCCCAGGCAGGCTTTGCTAATCTCCATCTCAGGTTGTGTGCGGCTGTTTGTGTGATGAAGCACACAATGAGTGGGGGAAAGGCCAAAGTGCTGAGTAAGAAGCCAAGCAGGACATCCGTCTCTATAAAGCCGAGGGTCAGTTTGAAAGCTATCCATCACGATCGCAATGAACACAACACATTACCAGCGGCATGGCCTCCTCGCCTTGTCCTTCAGTGGACATTTGAGGACCTTTGTCACAACAGGAGTGAAGGAGTGGTGCATGTGTATTAAAGGCTGGCTGTTTCAGTTTCTTAAAACTGCAATAATTGATTGGGAAAAAAAACAGCTGAAAGTGTGAAGCTACAGACTCGGGTTATAATAATATTCTTGGTTCATCACTACGATCAATCCCCTTTTACTTTGTCACATTGTTGTTTCACACATTGTTTTTGTAAAAATAAAAAATGTTGCAAATGTTAAATTAATCTAGTTTCAATTTTCCGCCCTGGTCTGAGTGAAAAGAGAGTTGTCAGTTACTTTGTTTATCAACTCACCGGTGTCCATCCATCACATTCTCATGAACGTGATATATCAACAAAGTCTTAATTTCTTCAAATTCATCACAAACATTTACTTGAATTCAAGAAGGAAGTGACTAGATTTTATTTAGTCAAAGGTCAATGTCAGTGTGACCTGACATTCTTCCCATCGTTGTAAATGTGATAAGCCAGTCACGCCCGGAGGGAATTTAACTGCATATGACTCAAACATTCACTTTGGACTTGTCGATGCACTTATTAGAATTTGCTAGTCAAAGGTCAAGGTCACTGTGAAATAGTAAAACACGTTTTTGGCCACGTCTCAAAAATCCATACGCTAATTATGAAGAAATATACTTAATGCCTTCAACTAAATTCTTTTAAAGTCTTTACTGCAAATATTATGAGTCTGGACAGACATTGATGTAAACTGTAACTTGACTGTTGGCAGAGACAAGGCCACAAGGCAGTAATTCAAATGTATTATTGATGTTTAGTTGTATAGCGACGAATATATAGCAATGCCACATGCTGCGGCATTTTAGCCTAAGCTAATTGCCAATGCCTATTAGATTTATCTCTCAATAAAATCCATGTCCATCTACTTGGCTGGAAAAAATGTGATCACTTTTACATGTTGGTGTTTAGGACACACAAACAGTGATGCACACTTCTAACTGGGGCAGGCTGCCAGTTGCTAAACTCTGCATTAAAAGATGGCCTTAATGAAAAATACCGGATAGTCAGGCAGTGTGCCGCACCTGTTAAAGCAGCCTTGTACATGCGAGACAGGGAGCCAACAACTTTACCTCATAATGAGGCCAATATCTAGCTCAAAGCCTGTCTGTGCCTTTTGTGTGGTTTACCATGTCCTTGCCTCATAAGCCTTGATAATGTTAGTAAATACATACAGGGGCATGGATAAACTGGCTGTAATCCACACTACCCCTAGATGGAAGAGCGAGGGAGCGCTGCAGGGAGAGAGAGATAGAGAGGGGAGAGAGGCGGCTGATTAGACTGGTTTTACTGTTCCTCTGCCGACCTAGAAAAACACAGCAGCCCTGACCTTGCATAGCAGAGCCCTTATATATCTAATGATCTCTGAGTACCTTAATGATACAATGTGTTCTCTCTCCCACTCTTTCCTTCCATTTTGCCTATCCTTCTTTCATGCCGTCCTCTCGCTGTTTCCTCTCACTTTTTGCACAAGCTTGTGCACACACACACACACACACATACACACACACATACACACAAAGTACACGGCCTTGAAAAACCCAGTCAGCAGTTTGGCCTAGGCTCTAGCAAATGAGCTGTCCTATTGAAATAGAAAGGAGAGTGCTCTGTGCTGCAGAAAATGCTGCTATAGCAAGCCTCACAGAAGAGGGACGGGGGGAAAATTACTTGTTCGGACAAAGAAACATGAGAATGTCCTTTCACTACAAATGTACCAATTTACATTTAGACGGAGCAGATTACATCCATTTCTACCATACTTTATTTCTTTCTCCTCTTCTTTTTTTCCACCACCCCCACATCTCATTTCATTATCATTCATAAAACACTAGTGGAAGAGTGAGGAAAAAACTTCCAATTCAAAAAATGTATTTTTCTCATTGATTCAAGCTTTCTTTCTTTCCTTCTCCTCCCAGCTTACACCATGGGTTTGAACACTCACAGTGTGGTTAGACTCCTGCAGTTTAATGGCGACGGCACTGTTACACAGCTCAGCTCCATCGCATCAAAGATGACTAACCAACCATAGCACCCTCTTACATTCTCAAAGCGCGGAGCTGAACGCTGTGTAATCGTCTTCTATCCCACCAAAAGTGTATATTTTTAGACACGATGGGTCTGTAGTGATTGGACTCACCGATCAAGCATCAAAACCTGCAATTTTACTTTGAGTAATAATAATAATAAAATCATGCTTTGTAAGTCTTCATTAAGCTGTTGAGTTCCCTGTCCATTTTGTCAATGTGTAGAAAACAGCTTCTCCTGGCTTAAGTCATTCATTCTAGCGTCTAATTCCCTCTCTTTGGCCACTTAAAGCATAAACCTCCATTTAGTCCTGGTATTCCCGCCTCTGGCTCTATCTGCCCACAGTAATTAAGATTCCATTCTGTTCTGAATAGGAACGTTAAGATGGAGGGGTTATCACTGGGCTTCTGTGGGCTCACCCAATGAAACACCTATAGTGACCTCTCTGATTTAGCCCAAAAGGGGTCCCTCCCGCCCTTCCTTCGATACCCCCCCCCCCCATGGCCTTCTTGTTGTGTGGTCCCCTCTCTTCGGCTCTCTCATTACTCTGCGTGCGAAGGCGTGGGAGGCGGGTGGCGGTGGGAGAGCGGGGCGGTTGCAGAGGAGGGCTTCTGTCCCTGGATGAGTGAGTGTGGATAAGAAGTTGTTTGAATTCATAATTGTGCTCTTGTGAAGGGGGAGATTTGTAAAGCAAGGCTGGGTTCATTGTGTGGCAGTGCGAGTCCAGTGGAGGGTGTGAGACGCTCAAAGCTAATGTAATCTACGCTATTAGAGAGGGTTAATTAGCTGCTGAACTGGAGCCTGAAGAGCAGGMAGAGCAGGAGAGACACCGAGAGTGCGACACAGAGAGGGGGGGAGAGAGAGAGAGGAGGGCGGGCAGTGGGGATAGAGAGGTCTTCAGGGAGTCATTAGAGACTGCTTGTTGTAATACAGCCACACAGTCAATAGGACTACTCTGAGGAGTAGAAGAAAGACACTGAGGGACGAGTTCACACCACCAAAAATGTCTGGATGTCAGCAGCTCTGCCCCCGTTCACATGTTGAGAAACCAGAGATTCATTTTATACCTTTATTTGTAACTTTTGCCAAATAAAGGCTTTTTTAGTTTTTCACAAATTCAAATTGTTGTAAATGGATTTGACATCCATATAAATATTCTAAATATAACACAGTATCACCACCTTTTCACATTTATGCTGATATTACGATAAAGGAGTACTCTGCTATTTCATGGGAAAGGGAAAATTAAATAAAATACATTTTGATCTATCTTTGTTTTTAAGTATTATCAATGGAGCTCTCATTATGGTGTGCCTTACTACATGGATTCAATTCTGTCATAGCCCCTCAACTTCCAGTTGTTGCTGTGAATAAATCAGTGAAGCAGCAAGTATTGATTTCCTAAAAAATTGTATAAATGTTGAAACTGAAACTGAAATTCTAGTTTGTTCTTGAACCTGCCCTCTTTGTTTTGAGCCTTTTTATAGTTTGCATTTTCGTCCACACAAAGATGCCATCTATCCAGCAGGTATTATCTTGATTACTCATCATAGTATTATACTGGCCCTCACTGCACTTCTATAATAAGGCCTGCATAACTTTTTTTCTTAGTATTTTCTTCTTCATTGCTAAATGTAGGTGGAAATCCTCATCTTTTAAAGTAGCTCAGGTGAAGCTCTGCTGGCCCCCTGCTACCAGTCTATTTGTATTTATAACTGTGTCCTCTACTAGTCCATCCTATGCTTGCCATGGGTCTCTTGTCGCTCTGAGCAAAAACTCCACTTAAGATGTGTAGTTAGTGCCTGTTCCCCTGGTATTTTAATGCAGACTAATTACTTTCCCTGGCTGGAGCGATCCATTTTTGTTTGTTTGTGGATGTTTTAGCTTTTTCTTGACCTTGGGGTGAAGAAAGAGAGAAAGAAAGAGAGGGAGGAAGAGAAAAAACCCTCACCAGTAGACTTATACCCTCAATTTAATAGCCGAGTGAGGTGTTTCTCCAGCATCATCAGATCAATGGAGAGTAAATAGCCCACACTTCTTGTTTCACAGTGCAGTATTGATCTTTTCCTCAGCCTCAGCTTCCCTTTCCCCGGCATCTCGTGTCTTTCAACCCCTGGGACTGTGCTGATTGCCATAGATTGGACAAGCTAACAAGCGCATGATGAGGAACCAGGCTTTCTTTTCTTCTCATAGGCTGTTTCATTTTTTTTCTTTGTGGCACTGGCATGAACACACACAGAAAGACAGACATACACACAGGGACTTAAAAACATCAGATCTACACAGCTCAGTGCCATGAAGGAGTATGGTTTTTCTTTCTTGTTCCCTCTGTTGTTCACCTTGTTCTGTTCATCTACACTGAGAGGATCTACTGTAGCGGCGCCTGTCTTCAGGATGTTTGCCAGGCTGAAGGAGTATAGCAACTTAACTACAGAGAAACTCAGAGAGACAGTGTGTTTCTTCACCTCACCGGGAACTTCATATTTCTTTTTTTCCAGCTGGCACCTCGTTTGTTCCAGAGTCTTCCATCATCTCTGAAAATATCTCAAGTGGCCTGCGGAGAGCGACATACTCTGTTTGCGCTGGAGGACGGAAGCGTGGCGGCATGTGGGTAAGTTCAGTGTCAGTGCAGCCGACAGTTTGCCGAAGTCCAAACCTGAGGGGGATAGGAGGAGAGATGAGGAGGCAAACCCCTCCCCACACATCCCAACCCTCCTGATGTTACTGCATAGGCAAATTAGGGCCCAGGGAAAGATCGAAGGGTTGTGTGCGTGTGTTGGGTACATTGATGAGAAATCATTGGGTATTTAAACTTAGCCTTGTGTGCTTGTGTGTGTTCATTGGTTTGCATATGTGTGGGCAAGCGTTTGTGTCTCTATTTCTGCTCGGCATGCAAAGTTGTAATAAATCTTGTTGAGTGCTGGTAAGTGAGGTGCATGTGCTGCTGGGTGGCTCAGAATCAATATGAAGTGTGTTTATTGAATCCAATAGTTGTGTTTGTGGAGAAGGAGAATAAACCAGCTGGAATAAGTGATCAGATTTGCTTTTAAGGCTCATTACCAGCCTGTTGGGCATATAGATCTGCTTCTAAACTGCACAGTGGATTGGACAAGTTTATGCTTGAACACAGCCAACATGATATACTTATATATTTCTGCATCATATTTTATCATCCACTTAGTAAAACAAATATGGATTTTGTTTTCTTTGCAATCTTTAAATGAGTAGTCTGCAGCAACCAGTTCTGTCTTCATTCAACATCATGATGTGGATGTTACTAAAACTGGCTTAAGTTGGTGTGTGTTGTGTTTATTTATGTAATTTTCATTTGAGGGTTGATCGTAAAACATATTCTGGATTGAAATTATATTTGGTTCATCCATTTCCTACAATCATTCCTATTCAAATTTTCATGTTTGTGCTAGTAATGTTAATCCTTATCTAGCCCATGTGACCTAAAAGTTGTCTTTAAAAGTGAGGATTCCAAGCACTATCAATGTAATCTGCAAAAATCAGATTCTTAGATTAAGAAAATCTGTAATCCGTTGACAATATTTAATTACTAATGAGAAACTTGACTTAGATACATGTGTTTGTGTGCATTGGGTTGTGAATTATTCAGAAATGTCTTATATATGAATTACATTTGAGTACCTGTAGAATACTAGTGTAAATGAGGTAAAGCACATGATAAAGCTATAAGGTTTAGTATGTTATTTTAAAGATGAGTGGGTGGTGGGCTGAGTTGTACATTTTACTGAGGGTAATTCATATAGTTTGAGATATAGATTTAAAGTATTATTAATAGGAGTTTGAAGGTTTTTGTCACGCTGTGCCGGCTCTGCCATTAAAATACAGGTGTTTACTCAGAATCAACTATCAGGCTTTTGTAAAGAGTCATAACATTTTTGGACAATGATGAATTCAGTTCAGCTAGAAGAAAAAAAAAAGAAATTTTTAAATTATTTTAGTGGTTTGTATTGTTTTTGTAACAATGAGACAGACAGGGAACACAACGAGAGAGAAGGTGACTGACTTACATTAAATGGTCCAGCTGGCTGGGAGTCGAACCAGCAACCTGCTGCTTTTGGAACCATATGCTCATGTGGTAGGCACCTTTGTGGATATTAAAGTTGTTTATGCTTTTGTTCACTCCTCCAAATTCAAAATAACACATCTATCATTCTCCTTAGAGTGATCAATACCAAAGGTAAATCACTGTTACCTGTCACACACAGACACGCCTGATTGTACCACACATGCACACGCACACGCACAC